AAATATTTTTTATTTCATTCAATTTTTAGGAGATTATTAATTTTTTAAATTGTTTTTTTTTTTGTCTTTTTTTGAATAAACATATTTTTAATCTCATTTGATTTTTTTCTTTTGTTAATTTCATTTCCTTTTAATATTTAGATTTTATTTTTTTAAACAAAAAAAATATATTTGTTATTTCATTTAATTTTTGGGACCTTTATTATTATTATTTTATTAAAATGTTTTTTTTTCGTCTTTTTTTGAATAAAGATATTTTTAATCTCATTTAATTTTGTTTCTTTTTCTAATAAAATTTTCTTTTATTTATTATTTTTTATTGTTTTAAATCGTAAAATACAGATGTACATAGGAATGTTGTTTAATTTAATTTAATTTTTTAAAGGCGAGCAGCATAACGCTACAACCTCCTCGTTAGCAAATATTTCAATTAGTCTTTCGAATGACAGTAAAGAGCGCTTTCAAAATATTTGGCAGAATTGACAATTGTCTTACGGAAAGACTATGGTGAGTTGAAAGACAGTTGCCAGAATTGTGCTGGTTATAGATTTTCCAATGGAGACAGTACGCATGTACGTATTTAGCCTCCTTGCCGGAATCCTATTTCGCAAAGTAGAAAAATGTTTGTCCTCTGTTGCAAAACTTTTATTTTTTCACGCATTGCAGCTTAAAAGGAATTTCTTGCATAAAGAAGTAAAAAAATCTCTTTTGGTTGCTATGAAGCATTGTTTATGTTTGTTGCAGTGTAAGGACACAATCACATACATATACATATGTTTACTTAGTGTATATACATATTTTGCCTGATAAGCTTACTGGCACAACGAGTAAATAGCATAGAAAAAAGGTTAATTCATCGTCAGCCATACATACATACATACAACACCACACAGCACGTGCATGTGCAAAGAAAAGCAGCTCAGGTGGTAACATTAGAGAATTGCTGCTGCTAAATTTATAGCGAGCACACAAGGAGAGGGTGGCAACCAATTTTTCCGATTTCACGAGAGAGTTGTGATATGTATTAATGCTGCTGCTTAATTGGGTAGAGGAAAGTGTAATATTTATGTTTGTATGCGGGTACGTGCTTATGAACGTAAAGCACCTTTGGATTCGGTGGGATTTGACTTAGCAGAAGTGTTAACATTGCCATTTTCAGAAGGTCTTTAACAGCAGAATTACAAAGGTAGTCGATCGTAAAGGATGCCTTTTGAAATGCATTTACATTACACCGTGCCATCTTACTTACAGAAAAAAGTTCGCCGTAGACCTTCGTTCGAGTCTTAAGTAATTTTGCAAAGCAATTTCGAAAAAAAATTATTTTGGCCGAACCTAGGATTTCCCTTTTTTACATTTTACTTTTTAATAGTTCTACTGAAATGCTAAAAATAATTCCTTAGAAAAAGTTTAATGAGTTGGCTTTAATTTACTGACATTAGGGTGGTACCTTAGGGTAAAAAGAACTGAGATCTGGTGGGTGCGTGCCAGAACGGGGTACTTGAAGTCAATGAACTTTGGAACAAAAAGACAAGAACATTGATGTATCATACTTTAAGATCCGTCTGTGAAAGCCGGAGGTATACAAAAAAATTTAAAAAGACGACCCCTACGTTCGGCAAAAAGAAAATTGTTTCTCCTTTTTCCGGTAAAGTCTCGGTTTTGCAGGTAAATTTGGAATCGAATACGAATATAAATTAAATAAGAATAAGACATAAGTATCTACATTAGGGTGGTACACAAATTTTTTCCCAGCCATATTTAATTTAAAAATTTTGCTAACTACTTTTTCATAACCGATAATCGCATCTTATGTGCTTGTACACTCAGCAGACGTATATTAAATAAAAAATATTAAAATATTAAAAACTGTAAAATATCTATATTAATTATGTATGTAAGTTAAACAGAAAGAAAAAAATATCGATAATAAAACATAAATCGATATCGTTATAGATAATTTTGATCAATTGCTACACTTGACACTTAAAAATATTTTTAATCATTAATGATTTTCTTGCCTTAATTTCCATTTTGATAAAATTAAATAAAGTTAAAGCTCACTCACTACAGCATTTGAAATGCCGTTTTTAATTACAAAGTATTTAGTGTGTAATATAAGTGTCGATGGCAAACTAATATTAGTATCGCTCCAAGTATATGAATCGATAAAAATATCGAACATTATAAAATATCGATATCTATTATGTATGTAAGTTAAACATAAAGACAAAAGTATCGATAACAACATAGAAATCGATAACCTTAACGATAAATTTATCGATAATTTTAATAAATTTCCACCCCACACACTTTACATACGAATTAAAGTAATTTCTGATTTTTTTCCCTCAATTTCCATTTTGATAAAAATAAGTAAAATTAGTAATGTGACTTAAAGCTCACTGCAACATTTAAAATGCATTTATCAATTAAAAAGTATTTAGTACATATGTAGATTCAGTTAAGTTTCATGATCAACAGCTAAAACCAGTTGCTGTGACTGGGCTATGAATCAAAATCTCGCAAATGTTCCGAAATAAGGGCAAAAAGCGACAGCCAGCAAAGAGTAAAATAACCAAAAGAAAAGCGAAAGACGGACAAATAAAAGCTACTACAAATAGTACATACTTAAATATGTAACTACATACATATGTATGTAACTGCCACACGCCACACGCACTGGAAATGTGCGAGACTGGTTGTATGTTGAAAGTAAATTAACATTGGAAATTTACGCAGCGCGGTTGCTGCTGTCACCGGCGCCGCTCTGCTAACGAGATAACAACGAATCGATTGCAGACTAAGCAGAGCAGCGCAGAGCAGCGCAGCGCAACTACGACGCATCCGACAGATCCGATACGATTGCCATGCGCCGGCCAAGCGACGAACAAAGCTGACAACGCGCTGCTTGCAGCGTTGGCGCCCAACAAATTCCATTCGCCCGGTAATCGGCATTTGGCGGCGAAGGCGCTCCAAGTTAAACGCCAACAAGTTTGCTGCTTTTTTTTCTACTTTTATTTCTCTATTTTTACATCACTCAATTCAATTTCAACTTCGGCATCAGCTGTTCTTAGGCTGCTGTTATCGGTTGATGGTGCAGCTGCTGCTGACGTCGCGTCGACTGGGCGCTGTAGTGCTGGACGTCGCCTAAAAGGGAAAACTGCTGCGACCTGAGATTTATTTAGTGTGCAACCGTCGTGGAAATCGGACGTCGCCAAAAGTGTTTTAACGAAACGTGACGTATCGTAGAGTTGATTGCTTTTACTACTTGCATGCAGTTCTCAGTTACTGGATACAAACAGGCAATTGTGCATAGATGTGTAAATCGTTCTTAAAAATCGAATATAAAAGTGGATATTATGTATGTAGATTAAAAAGTGCGCGCAAAAAAAAGTCGAGCTGTGATTACTGAAGTTGTTTGAATGAAGTTGAAAAAATTCAATAAATTTTAATAATAAATTTTGTGTGGAACGGCTGTGCTGCAAGAGTAACTAGCGAAAATTTGTCTATTCCATTTCATTGTGCTGTGAAAGTTTCAGTAAGTGAATAGTGGGAGGTTTTATTAAAAAAAAGAAATCAATATTATACTCGCAGAAAACGAGATAAACAGAATTTTTTATAGCTCACTTGGAAGAGATGAAATAAAGTTATAGAAGCAAAAACACTTTACGCTGATAATTAAAATTTTGAAAAATGTAAATTCTAAAAAGGTCCTTATTAAAATTTGAAGTATTTATTATTATTAAAAATGCAAACATATACGTAAAATAAATTAAAATCTATAACAGAAAAACATACCTATAGATAAATTTGTTTGAAGAAATAAATTTTACTAAATAATTTTTTTTTTAAGAAAAAAATTATACTAAAATTTTGTAGAACTAATCTAAAAGTACTCACAAGTTTTAACTTACAATGTTAAAAAAATTATTAAATAATGAAAAACATCACTAAATTTGTTTCGAAAAATTCAACTAATTCAAAAATAAATCTTAATAGAGGTACTCGTAATTATTAACAGCCAATTTAACGAAAGCAATTTAAGTGAAAAATGATTTTAATCTTTCGAATTTTATATGGAAATTGACATAAAATAAAAAATCATTTTCCATTTAAGTTGCTGGTGAAACCGGCAGTAATTCTGGAAAGATCCTCGAAACCCACTAAAATCTCGCAACTTTTCCCTAACAGTCAAATTTTGTTTAAGCTTTTATTTTCGAATTTTCCTACTTGCTGCCTTTAACGTAAATTTACTTAAAAAAGTATGTTAAAAAAATAAAAGCAATTAGTCAAATCAAATAGAAAATTCTTAGAAAACCAACACATATAAATTTCAATAAAAGTTTCACCAATATTAATACTTCGCGCGAAAATTTATGTAAAATTGGCCTGAGACTTGTTGTGCAGAAAATTACGGCAAAGTTTACTTATTTGCATGAGAAACACAGTTGGGCACATAAAAGATCCCGAAAACTCTACAAAAATCCATAAAATTTCTGATGCTCTGTAAAGTCTCTCAGATAATGACAATAAAGCTTCTGGTAAATGATTAGAATAATTCTCATGAGAATAAGAATTCACTATCATGGTAATGGATATTTGCACTCACCGTAAATTACATATCCATTCTCATTACTAATTAGACGTTGAGAATGAGAGTGTATTCCTATTCCCATGAGAACTATTCTCATCGTTTATCAGAACCTTAAGAAGCGCCTAAGCGATTCTTGCTGATTCCTTCTGTGTTTCTCTTCTGTGCCATTGGCCATCAATTGGAAATGCCATGTGAGGCCAAGTCCTTCTTCACACTGGTCTTTGCATCCGTTCGCGTTGAATACTTTCAGGATTGAAGCCAGCGGTGGCGCTGTATTTTAAATCACTGCCCTATGTCTATGTTGTAAAGGTCAGACAGCTCATCGAGCCATGCTCTGCAGTATTCGTAAATCTTTCGCAGAATCTTTCTCTCGAATACGTCAGAGTCAAACGAATTGTCATTGCCCGCGCTTCTTTGCCATTTACCAGCCAAGCCATGATGGGTAGCTTATAGAGTGTGATTTTCGTGCGTCGGAAGAGTGCCGGGGCGCGAATGTTCTTACTGTCGGAAGATGTTGGAGGAAAGAAGACAAAAGATACTTTATCTTGTCCTCGTTCACCCTTAGACCCATTCACTTTGATTCCATATCCAACTTAAAAAAGGCATAACAAACGGTTGTTGAGGCCGATGAAGTCGATGTCATTGCCATGCTCTTTGAACAAGTTTTTCTACCATCAGAGTGAAGAAATCACACGACATGGAGTCGTCGTTTAACTGTCACGGTACTTTTCGAATATTTGGCGTATGTTGAATGCCCAGTCTATGGTGGAGCTACCAGTGAGCTACAGTCTTTCTCACAATACGTTCGATAAGGCCTTGCATGCCATATTAAGAGAGCTGATCCCACGGTAGTAGGCAGTTTTGACAGAGCACACTTCAATTCAAGCCGTCAGTGATGTCGATTCCGATGTCTTTGATTGGGGCTCAACAGGGTGACAAGTTTTCCTGCCGTAATTTAGGTATGTTCTGAACATGGGTCACTAGGCTGACCTATTCAAGAGACTTTTCGTAAGTCGCCTAATCTAGTGGTAACATTTTTAGGGCACTTTCGTATGTTTTTTTACTTCTCTCTGCTTTTATAACGGCAAAGATATCGTATCGCTCTCTTAATATTTATAATCTGTAGGGATCCCCTATATCTATCACACACATGTATGTAGCTCTCGTATTGGCATATTGTTGTTCTTGTTGTAGCGGATACTCAATCCTGCCAATCGTTCTCATCAAGTTCAACTACCGGGAGACCCAGGAAGTGTGAAACTCCGACTGGGTTGATATATAGGGACAGGGGCGTTAGCTGAGTGGGGTTTTGGGGAATGCAAAGAGCTGCCGTGAGCCATGCGGTGACTATCCGCGTGCCGGGTACTCGTTGAGTACATCTGCGTTTACTTTTACGAGCTTAGCCCACTGCAGAGTCCAGAGCGAAGTTGGACTATGGTGGTGCGAGTTTCCCGACGCAAACAAAGCTTTGTCTCATCCACTGTGTTCCCAAAACGGCATTCACAGATCAGGAATCGATGTAAGTCGAGACCGAGTTCCCTTGACTGCCGGTTATAGCCCGTCGGTATGCTGTCAAGTCTAGAGGTTGTTTTTTGAACCCCCGGACCTCGTCCGTCCGTTCCTTCCTTCTACCTTCTGACGTGCCTAGACGAGGGCTCTGTTCAGGTGCCCACATCTGTGAGACCCTACTAGGAACTACTTACAGTGCATCATGTTGTGCTGTGGAAGCATTTGAGTTTCGTCGTGAAGGTGGTGCTGTGGCGACATAAGAAGACATCCAGTTGCGGGCCGGAGTGCGGTGTTGTGGCATGCCGACGACCACATCGTTTGGGCTCTCTGAAATTCGACTACTGGCGTCGGTACGTAATGACCGCAAAATTAAGGATAATTTATTTTTTTTTTTGCAATGCCTAAAAAATGAAGATCAACAGTTACCGTCTTCTAACGTATTTGGAAAATTTCGACATCACTTTTCAAATTTCGCAAATATTTAAAAAAAATTCAGCCGAGTTGCCAAAAATTCGAAAATTTCCGAGTAAATCGCGAGAATTTAAAAAAAATCCGAAAAACCAAAATCCACTAATTTATTTACAAGAAGCTAATTTGCCTGCTATTTTCTGCCCAAATAATATCAGCCAAACGTTGCAAAAAAAAAAACAAAAAAGAACTATTTAGTCTTCCTGCTCAAAATTTTCGAAAAAGTGGTTAAAATAAAACCACTGTATAATAAACTGAAATAAAAAATATAAAGAAATATACAGGTAAAATAAAGTTAAATTAACTTAAATTAATTATAACAAATTAAAAAAATAACAAAACTAAATTAAAAATAAAATAGTTACAAAATTTAAATGAAAAAAAATTGAAGAAAATAAAAGTCAAAAATTTTATAAAAAAACATCTGAAAAAAAATCATAAAATTTAAATTTAATTTTAAAAAGTAAAAAAAAAAAATAATTGTATTGAATTTTTTCCATAACGTAATATCCAAAAAAAGTCATTATTACAACGCTCGTTTGCTGGAAGAAGGCCTCAAGCTTAAAATAAAAACAAAATTGAGGGAAGTTGGAAGAAGTGCTCTTATTTTATGTTGAGCAAAAAGTTGACAGCGAAATCTGTCAATTAAATTTCACAAGAAGATAATATATTTTTGGAAACTTTTCGTTACTATTAATTTGTTTTTGTTTTTGTATGAAGAACCAACAGACCAAATTATTTAATATCGTTTTTCTAAAATTCCAGATTTTTTGGATTATGACGTTCTTCCAGCAAATGTGCGAAATATAAGTCCTGAGTGGTATCGCAACTGTGTCTAATTTTCTTAGCGACTTCAATTGCTTTACATACATATCTAAACATTTGTCCTTTGGAAATTCACATAATTTTTTTCTTTTTATGCCATTTGAGTATCGTTTTTCTCACACAATTAATCGAGCTGCAACACAAACACACTAATATTTATCTGAAATTTTTTATAAGAAACAAATGTTTACCGCTAACTAAATATGCAAATTTTTGCATGTACATTAGTGTGGTCCAAAAAAAAAAGAGTTAATTTAAAATTTTAATCCTCTCACCCCCTAGGATTGTTCTATACCGAAAAAGATATACCTGTGTTTTTTTTTTTTAATTGGAAATCAAAAAATATTTAGTCTTGGCGCTCAAAGTTTCCCATGTATTTTATATGGAAAATTTTTTTTTATAGAAATGGTATAGAAAATCAATATTTTTCGACCGGAACGCTCGGTATCAATGCAGGAGACTTCCAATAATAATACTCAATTGCTTATTTTAGAATTTTTTAACATTAACGATTTTTTTATGGATCTCCGATTGCATTATTTAGGGGTTTCCGCGGACTGATGCAAATAATTGATATTTAAAAAGTGGTTAAATAAACAATTGCCTGTTATTATTGAAAGTCTCCTGAAGAGAACCAGAGTTTTCCAATAGAAAAATATTCATTTTCAAGAATTCTATACTATTTCTACGAAATTTTGTTTTACTCCATATAAAAAAAGGGGGATATGTTTTCGGTATAAAACAATCCCAGGGGTTGAAAGCATTAAAATTCCGATTGCACATTTTTTTTTTTTTTTTTACCACCCTAATGTACATTCACATGGCCAAACGCATATTTTGCATAATAACTGCGTGAGCAAGTCCACATATGTACATACATACATACATACACACATATATATGTATGTATACATACAGTGTCACATAGTACATCGGTCTGACAGATACGAGACAACTTCAGCGAAAGATGAACAGAAAACAGTTTCTACATACAATTTGAATGCGCGGCTCAGGCAGCAACGTAGCAAATTTCCAAAAAAGAAGTGTGCGAAAAATTCGTTGGTTTCACTCAAATAATGAAAAGCTAAGCGTGAAGCGAGGGAAAAACCGAAAGGAAAAATAATTTTGAGATAAGATGCCGC